CCCCAAGACAGGGACTCTATTGTTTTTAAATGGTGACAGTGGGAGTAGCATGGGACTTTCTTGGTTATTTGCCTCCATTCCATCCTGTTTACACCTCTGATTTATTTGCTTCATTATGGTGACAAGCTTAACTTGTACGGTTGTGTTAACCAAGTTCCAGGCAGAAGGATGGAGGACGGAGTATGGCTAGAAATGGAAAATAAGGAAAGTTGGTGACAATTTGACATCGTATTTTTGACAAGTAGTCCTACTGCTTTCAGGTACACGTGCAGTTTCTCTGTTTTCACAAACTCTTGTTAAGTCTCTAAATATCTTACTCTGATTATATCATTTCCCTAGTCAGAATCCTGTAAGTCTCTTCACGTCTGCGGAATAAAGTGCAGCCATCTCATCCTGGTCCTTGTGAAGGTGCTTTGTTATCCAGATCCACACATGTTAACCTAAAACGTACAGCAGACCTATGCCCATGTGGGGAAGGCATGTGACAGTTGTTGGTCCCACAGTGGATGTTACTGGTTTCCATCCCACACACATCTCTTTTCTTCCTTCCTTTATCCTAAGATAACTCTGATTTTTCTCAGATCTCCATTTATCCAACACTTGGAAATGTGTCTCAGGGTGAAGAAGAGGCTCCGATTGATCTAAGAATAATCCAAATCCCCTTGCCAGTGATTGTTTTAGGAATGTGCTAATAACACAGTTCTAGCCAATGAGATGTGAGGAGAGATGTGTTAGCGGCCTCTGGAAGTTCCCTTGCTCCTGAGAGAGTCTTAGAGAGAAGCTGAGTCGGCCTTTGGATGCTGCATGTTTGGCTGGATTTCCTGGAAGTAAGCCAACTCCAAGGTTGGAAGAACAGAGAGGCAGAAAGAACCTAGATCCTTAAAGGCATTCCCAGGCTGCTGAAGCAACTGCTAACTCTCCAGTCTGCCCTGCCTCTGGAGCTCCCATGATATGATATGACATTTTTTCATTTAAAATCTGAGTCAGTTTTTCAGCTACCTGCAGCCAAAAGCATTGTACAGTCTTGTTCCATTTTTATTTTGTTTCAACCTAATTCCAATCCAGATCTTTATCACTTCAGCATCCCCAGCCAAATGTGCCCCTGCTTCTCTATAAATGCCCCCCAAACTCCTGCCCTCTCCAGCTACTGTAGTCCTAGCCATTAAAAACCTTACTAAAATACCATTACCACTTAAGAACTCTTTCCTGATAACCCACTCTTTCCAGCTGCCAGAAAGTTTTCCCTTCTTTGAATTCCAAAAACCCTTTACTTACCTCTCTTCAGGCATCTTTCATATTCAGGCATCATTATTATTTGTGTGAACATTATGTCTTGTTCTAATTGGAAAGTCCTGGAGAATAGGCGCTCATTTATAGTTTTGTATTTACCTCCCACCTAGAACAGAGCCTGTGTTTAATATAAGGCTCTCAAAATTTGTTGAAGGAATCAAATATTACTAGACTGATTTACCACCCACCTTCTGCGAACTCAGTGAACACTAATTGGTGTAGTAATAAAGTAAGAACACTAATTATGCAGTTGATTTTTCAAAATGTCACCTCCGTGAAAGAAATGTAGAGAAATGAAATTTTTAAAGAATCTGGTTCCTCTAGTAGGTCTGATTGAGTGAAATGTAATGATGGCAATTGAATGGCATTGTAAACAACAGTATCAATTCACTTCGAAATGTCTTTGCATTTAAAATGCGAGAGAAAATCGCCTGGAGAACTTGGCTCTGGTTTTTCAGTTGAGTGAAACAGTCAGATGCCCAAATTTCAAAAGCAAAATGGGAACAGAAGACAGTGCAGAAATTATGCTCCCAACTCATCTGATAAAATAATGGCTGGTGGGATTTACAATACTGTGATAAATACTCTCAGAAATCATGGGTCCTTAAGCTTGCCGGTCTCTTTTATGGGGTATTTTAAAACAATGACATTACTTGCTGATCTCTGACCCAAGTGTCACTGTAAGGATACCACTAAGGTTGGAGAGACATTTTGACTTTTATGATATTTTATTTATTTCAGTTAATTTGAAATATTTTATACATGCAGAAAAATCACAGAAGCTAATATTCCAGATACCCTATAATCCAGTCTCCTGGTTTAACATGATAATATTTTGTTATATTTACAATATTTATTTTATATTTTATACCTCATCCTTCTGTGTGATACTCAGAATAAATTTCTGCTCAGATTTTGAATTCACTAATGCATTGCGATTTTGAGTTTTATTTTTAATTAAGAAAAAATTTACATGGCGTGAAATGTACAGTAAATAAATGCGTGTCCAATGACTTTTGACAGACCTACACACCTGTGTAGACAACATCCAGTAAAGATGTACATTTTCATCACTAAAAAGTTTGCTCTTGCTATGTTGCATGCAGTCAGTCCACCTCAAGAAGCAAATCCTGTTCTATCACAATAGATTATTTTTGCCTGTTTTTAAATGTCATTTAAATGAAGTCATAGAGTATATACTGTTTTGTGTCTAACTTCTTTAGCACAACATAATCTTAGAGTTTGGGTTTTATATTGAGATCTGTGGTCCACTTTGAGTTAATTTTTGTATTAATCGGAGTTTTTTTTTGCATATGGATATTCAGTTGCAACACAACATTTGTTGAACATGTACTGACTTTTTAAGTACTCCTCTTTGCAATTTTCCTAAAAATGTAGCTCTAGGGATTTTATTATGCATTCCTGATTTATCACAGTTCACTTAAATTAATATTGTACCACTTCATGTAAAATATGAGAATCTTACAGTAGTATAATGCCATCCACCATCACTCCATTCTTTATCAATTGTCATATATTTTGCTTTCATATATGTTATAAAATTCACAACACAATGTTGTTATAGTTAACTTAAATGGTCAATTTTGTTTGAAATAAATTTTAAAAATAAGAAAGGCAGATTTTAAAAATTCACCCACATATTTACTAAGACTGGTGGTAGTGATTTCTCTGTATAACTGAGTTTCCATCTGTTATCATTTCTCTTCAGTCTGAAGAACTTCCTTGAACATTTTTGAAGTGAGCATCTGCTGGGTATGAATTGTCTCAGCTTTCATTTATCCAGAAACTTATTTAAACCTCATTTATTGAAGAATATTTTCACTGGCTGTAGAATTCTAGACTGATAGTTTTCTCTCTGTGTTTTATACATAACGTCTGATTGTTTTCTGACCTTCGTTGTTTTCTGTGCATAGTAGTCACTCATAATTCTTATTTTTGTCCACTGATACACAGTGTCTCCTTCCTCTGACTGCTTTACAAGTTATCTTTGATTTTTAATACCTGTTTAAAAGTTTTCTCCTACTTTTATTTTACTTAGAGATTTCACTATGAATGCTTACTGAACTGTGTCTTTTTAAAGTCATATATTGGAGTAATTTTCTATTTTCCCTGTAATTTATTAATGGAATAAATTATGTTGATAAAATTCTAATGCCCATTCTTCAATTTCTGTAATAAATCCTTATTTTATACACTGTTAGATATGCTTTTCAAATTTTCAGGTCCTTAACATAAATTAACAAAACAGAATAATAAGCTTTAAAATATAGAGTGCTTTAAACAAAAGAAATAACACTTACTACGTTTCAGTTACTTTGTCTTACTTAAACATACAAAGGCAAGTTGATCATTAGTTGTTAGAAGAAGTTTATGCTGCATTTCTCTACGTGTGCTTCTGAGACAACTGTATACAGCTTCATTGATGTATAGTTGGTGACAGTTGCACATTAAAGACTGAGCTGATACTCTGAAGTGAAAAGTGTTCAGAATCCTAACTCTACCACTTATGAGCCATGTGACCTTGTGTAAGTCACTTACCTCTCAGAGCTTCACTTAACATCTCTGTAAAGTGCGGGTGGAAATCACACCTACCCTGCAAGGTGAATGTGAACATCAGATGTGGTGATGGGTGGGGGTATGTTTTGTACATGATAAGTTATTGTTAGTGGCTATTTTTTTCTCCAGAACTGCTCTACTCTATTTCTTTTCCCCTCTTTTTCTCCTTTTTTCAAAAACTCATACTTTAGTATTGTTTAAAGCAGTTTAAGGTTCACAGCAAAACCAAGGGGAAGATACAGAGATGTCCCATATACTTCCTGTCCCCACAAGTGCATAGTGTCCCCATTATCAACATCCCCCACCAGAGGGGTACATTTGTTACAACCGATAAACCTACGTTGACACATCGTAATCACCCAGAGTCCACGGTTTACATTAGGGCTCACTCTGTTGTGCATTCTGTGGGTTTGAACAAACGTATAATGATATGTATCCACTATCGTGTATCCACTATTACAGTATTGTACAGAGTGTTCTCTCTGCTCTGAAAATCCTCTGCTCTGTCTGTTCACCGTTCCCACCCCAAACCCCTGATAACCACTGTTCTTTTTGTTGTCTCCATAGTTTCACCACGGCTCTCCTTTACCACCAGTGGTCCTCAAGGACTGCACAGCTGACGTGGGGCTGTGGGAAGCTTCTCTTTTGTGGCCCTTGTTGTCACTGTCCATCACTGGATTCACTGTCCAAGCTGCTGGGCAGGACCCCCTGAGGGTCCTGTTGTTGTTTGAGGGGGCATAAAAGGGAAGAAGAAATCCACTCCCATTTCCTGAGAGGGGGAAAAAAGCGAAGAGGAAATTCATTTGTGTCTGAGGGAAAAAGGAGGAAGAAACTTAAAGGGACTTCAGTTCTAAAGAGTGGGATTGTAGGAAAAGCAGAGTTCCCACCCTGCTTCCAATGTCCCTGTTACGTCTAGCTCACTGCTTTTCTTAAAGAAACCATGGGAAGTGATTTTAACACTCTAATTTACCTACCTTAACATTTAAATAAATTTTTAGAGTCAGGGTTGGAAACCTAACCACCTAAAGAATTCTGTTTTTAGGGGAAAAAAAGTGCATTGTAGATTAAACAAACAAACCAAAAACCTTGCAAAGATATTTTGTAACTTAATCCACCTCTTTATCTCTACCCAGATCTTTCACATACAACTCCTCAGCTTGACGTCAGTGTTTATGAAGGGTTCTCTGTGGAAAGGGAGCTTTTGAATGGCCGAAGAAAGGTGATAAGACATCAGGATGTGTGGCAGAGGAGAGCGGCTATTCTGTTTTGGAAAGCCATGCAGATGCTTTGGAATGATCTTTAAGGCGCAGTCACCAGACCTCCAGGTGAGTGTCAGATACGCAGGGCTGCCCTGACACCGGACCGTACGAATCACTGAGAGTGGTGGCCAGTTTCAGAGTTGAGAGCGTCCTAAAGAGAATCTCAGTAAGCCTGTTCTTGGCTAAGCGGCCGAAGTTTTACACGTACCAAATCGGCATGGGTGCCCTCCCCTTCGACTCTGGGCAATAAAACTATGAAGTTGCACTATTAGGACTTAAGTTAAATTAGTTCAAGTGAGTGTGCTTAAGTTTCAGATAGTGAGTCAGTTAAGTTCCTGGAATTTTCCTCCTCTTATATTTCTTTCTTCTGAATTTAAATCCTAGTTTACCTACAGGTTTCAGTATTCTGGGAGTATTCAGTATTCTGACTAAAACAGATAAAAAGAGAAGTCCTCTATATTTATAACCAGGACAGAGCACGTTCAGTGGTAGGAGAAACATCCCCATGGTTCAGCTCTAAAACCCTGAAGAGAGCTAAAAGAGAACTTGGGTTGGTGGGCAGCTGTCTGTTGATGGCATGATACATGTAAAAGATCTTCTGCTTTTCATTTGTAATGTTATCTGGTTGGTTGGTAGCCTGGGTTGTTGTTTTTCAGAAAAATACGGCAGAGATAAACATATGCTTCCATGTTGCTCTTCTTTTGGGTTCCACAATCCAGAATATAGATCTGCCTGCTTTCCCATTTGTCTCTCTTGGGAAACTCAAAATTGACTTATTAAGTTGGATTAGCTTGGGTTGATGCAAAAAAAGGTCAGATACTATTTTAAAATAGTGGTGGAAAAAGGATTTATAAAGAAACCAAACAAACAAACATGGCAGGAGGAAAGAAAAAAAAATAAGGAAAAAGTGAAAATGGTGATTGATGTTGACGATGCTGTTTTAACTGAGGACTTTAAAAGCTGCAAAACATTGAGAAATCAAATCTGGAAAATAAACTCAGATTACGAAATGTCAGATTGGAGGATAATCTTGATGGGGTAGAATTAGGAGAAACAAATGACTCCCCGCCGCCCCCCAAAACACACACACGAGAACACTGCAAAACTGCTTTGGAAGAATGATTTTTAATTCCTTCCACAAGCTGTATCTTAAGTTCCCTAATGCTTGATGCAGCAACAGCAATCTGTACTTTATATGTGAAATGAGAAATTCTTGCAGGGAAAAGGCAAATATCTTAACTTCCTTTGGCCACTGATGACTTTTTGTTTCTGCAGAGAAGCTGACAGAGCTACTGGCTTTGATTGTTTTTGATTATACAGGACTTCAACCAAAGCTATTAAGAGTACTAAACAGTATGAGTCAAATGCTTATCTGGCTAACTCCAATGATCATATTTAAAACACATACTCCCTTGAACTCTTATTTTGATAAGTATCTTTTCAAGATTGTGCTGAACCAAAAGAATTTTTGAATAGTAAAAAGAAAAGTGTTTTAGGCAGGATGTGAGAGGCAGAACATTTTCTTTGTTCCTGATCCTCCTTGGAGGTTCCCAGAATTTGTCCTGAAGTCACAGTGGGTGAATGGCCTTTTTATGCACTAGTCTGTTACACAAATAATAGATAACAGTCGTTGAGCAGCTAGTCGATGCCAGACACGCTTCTCAGTGCCTTCTATGTGTAAATTCAAATAGTCTTCACTACAGTCAAAAGTGGTAGGTATTATTATTATCCCCGTTTGTAAGATGAGAAAAGCAGGCTGCAGAAAGGTAGGTCATTGTGCCAGGTCACACAGCTATTGGTACCAAGTCCAAGCTCATACTGCTCATTGCACAACAGGCCAATTAATTGAGAGATGAGTGGTGAGGGCAAGGAATAGCAGCTTTATTCGGAAAGCCAGTAGCCCTCAAAGATGGTGGGCTAGTGTCCCAAAGAACCAAGTTAGAGTCCAGGCTTCTTTTACACTAAAAGGGGAAAGGGTGTGGTTGGTTGCTGCAGACTTCTTGCTGCCAGAGTCCTTTGTTATTGCAGCTGTCCGCATAGGTCCCATCACAATGTTCCTATAAAGCTCCAAGACAAATGTTACTCTCTGTTCTGCAACTTTTTCTCTCTATCTGAATGGAAAAGTGTTACAGCTTTAAAGGTCAGAGCCGGGGAAATGGGCTGTCCTATTATATATTTCAGTCTATAGGCAGCACACTTAACTTGTAGCAAAGGCGATAGAATACAAAGGTTAAAGTAAAAGAAACAGATCCATCATGGGGTCAGATTTGTTCTTCCCTATTATAGTTACAAAAGAGGCTTATCCAAGTTACTCTGGCTCCAGGACCCACACTTTCAACCACAATACTGTGGTTCTGAGTTATATAAAGACACTGGGATTTTTAAAATAATCTATTTATGGCCATTGGTGTAAAAATATATTCATTTATCCCAGGAATAGTTTTGTTAGCAAGAGGAAGTCCCTTTTTTTGTTGCCCAGTCGTTTCATAAAATCGGGTTAAATACAAAACAAGTCTGAGTCTTTGCCCTGCCGAAAAGAGTACGGTAAGGCGTGAAGAAAGCAGGAGAAGCAGGTGTTCAGAGGGGCTTGGTTTTACCTTCCTGACCTGAAAGGGATCAAGTTTGGTATTTTCCTTCTTGAAAAATATGGAGCTAACATTTAAAGAAGTGATTTTTATTTTTTTTAATCAATTTTATTTCCGCTGGCCAATGGCTGGTTTAAATTACACAGCAGCGATGAGTGATAAAAGAAATGCTTTAATTAAGAGCAGAGAAGAAAGAATATGTTTTGAATCATGAAGTCAGAAGGTGTGAGAAACCCCTGAGATTCCAGGAGCAGAGCTGCTCTCTGAAGAGAAGAATGAGTTGTTTGCTCCACCCCTCCCAGCAGTAGGAAGCAGTGTCTCTTAACACAACAGACAACTCGACACCAGGGGGTTAGAAAAAGCATTTTTTTTTTCCACCCAAAGAATCACTTTAAACAGCCTGTCAAGATGGCTGAAGTAGCTATAAACTGGCCAGTGTTCCCTGAAGAGTGGAGAGCACACGTAGAACAAAACGGGGAAGCGGCTGGAAGCGACGTGGAAGAGGTTAGCCCCGGGTGTGAAGGGCAGGGCTGTGCAGAATCAGGAACTCAGAAAAGGGACACAAGGAGAAGCCCAGGGATGGCCACTTCCATCCAGTCCGTCCGCTACTACGCCCATCACTCTTCTCTTCCTGCTTTGCAGTGTACGAAGTTTGCCATGAAAGTGGAAGAAAGGGTCTTTGTGAGTTTGAGAGCTCAAACTGGTGAGGGGAAAGACATCTAAAGTACCAGTGGTAAGAGCTGAGAAAAAATACTAAAAGCCATGGGATTCCATCAGAACTCAACAGCAGTAACCACTTGTCTTGGATGCCATTGCTCAGAGTCAAAGGGAGGCGTAGCTTAGGTCTCTACTTTCTACACTGATTTTAACAGAGGAAAAGCATGGTTGCTTTCTTTTTACTATGTTTTCTGGCTAGAGAAAAAAATTCCTCAGAATTTTGTGTGCGGAGAAATAGCTTAAATAACTTGAAGAGTTATCTCTTTTGCAAAGAGACTGCATCCTTCCAATTTTAGTAATTAATTTATTTGTGATATCACAGGTTAAGCCCGTATTTGATGAGAATCCTGTTGGATGAAAACATGGCCATACGGTGATTATTACAATGGACTAAGGTTCCAGATTCTGCGCTTGGAGGCACGGGTAAAGCAGGTATGAGGTCTCTTGGTAGATATTTTTATTTGTGAAATGGGACAGTGCTTCTAGGTGCTTTCAGTGGTGGGGATTAATGTTGTGGTGGTGCTGAGGAATCGTTCAGCACTGCATAGTGCTGGGCTCGATGACCAGTGAGTAGAGATTTGAGAACTTAGGTGTTGCAATAAGAAAGGAATTATTATCACTTGTCATCTTTTAAATTATGGAATTACATATAGCAGCTCTTCCTGCAGACTGCATGTGACGCCTCTCAAAGGCACTTTACTTCATGGTTTCTGGTGTGGGAAAATTATGATCACCTTTATGCAAATCCAAAACAAGAGTGGAGATTGGGTTAGACTTCATGGGAGATATGCGTTTGGATGACCCTTATTTGCACTATAGTCAATGTAATGCCAATTTACAACTGAGATGAAGAATTACAATTCTACTGAAGGTTTGTATTCTTACCAGTTGTATTCTGTATTCATTTTCCAAAATTATGCCCTTGGTGATTTTGTCATAAAGTTAATGCCCATTCATTAAAATATAGAAAAAGAGAAATCAATATGGCTCTCTTAAAGAGTCACGTACCTTGACTAATTCCACAAGGAGTGAGAGTGGACGCTGAGTTAGAAACCAGGGACTCTGATTTCCAAACCAATGCTGTCTTAGCTACATCACAGTTTAGAGTTTAGTTAATGTAATATTTTCCTTTTTTTTTTAACTTAACATTGTACCATAGGCATATTTGACTTAGAACTTTCTTGGGGCAAGGTACAACGTTCTATCAAGTACCCCAATACTGGTTTTGAACATTTAATAAAAAGTCTTGTGGAATGTCAGTGTTCAGGGTGAAGATCAAGGGCGCTGGAAGGTCCGCACTGTGGGGTCTGGACCCCGCTGGAAACACAGGCTATCTATACCCAACAGCCTGCCCTGCTAATCCCACTTGGGGCTATAGGTACAGTCGGTAGGAAGAGGCGGTGACCATGCCTGACCTCATTTCCAGGAAGTCAGAGAATGGTTTCATAGACTTTAGTTGTGAGGGAGACAGAATTTTTAAGGGAAATATTTAAATCGTAAGCTAAGAGAGAGAGATGGGAACTTGTTTCCTGGGGAATCTCTGAAGAAAGAAAGGAGAAAAGTCTCATCTATCCAGCATGGGTGTAAAGTGTGTCTTAGATGAATGTATAAGCGTGTAAATTAGTTGCTTCTAAGCTTTAGATCTGTAGGCAATGGGAAAAAGCACAAAAACAAAACTAAGCAAAGCAAAAAGGGTAATTCAACATAATACTCTCAAAAGGCAAAGCTGAGTAATACTCTCACCCAGGTTATTCTAGGACATGGATTTTACAATGGCAGGATGGGGAACCCTCCACTCCTCCCGGGTGTCCCCTCCACCTCCTCTGCTCTCTCCCAGGATGCTGTTGGCTGTTCCTTCATCCCCTGTTTTCTGTGCAACCCAATTTCCTTCCAGGAATTCACTCCATTCCACCAAAGATACTTGGCATGGATACACCTCCCATGTAGATTTAATCTGTAGTTACTGAAGTATCAGACTCATTTAACAGTTTGTATATTATAGTTGGATTGGGGCTTAGCCTCTCTACCATAGCCTTTGCTGCTAAGAGCTGCAGCTCGCTTCACGTGCCTTGAGTAGCCCCCACCTCGGCGCCCATCAGCGAGATCTGTTTTCTCTGCAGAAGCACATGCATTGCCCCACGCTGACAGTCACTTGGTTTAGCATTGGCTAATCACCAGTACCGTTCTGTGAAGTGAGATTCATAGATGCTGATTGCATTTATTGCATAAATTACTTCATTATTAAAATCAGGTCATTTGAGCCTCCAAACCATTAACATGAAGCTTATTAACATAATTTCATAAGCTAATAAGTCAAGCACAGGAAAAGAATTACAGGGTTCTTAGTGATAAGTGTTTCTTCAGAGATTAAGGAACACAATTTTCTTATGCATATATTAACATTTTCTGAGTAGGTTCCTGTAAGCAGTTTCCTTCTCTGCATACATGACTCAACACTCTGTCTTCTTCATACTCGGCCTCTGAAGCTCATTTTCAAAATTAAGGGTCTTTTTTTTACCTTTTCAAATAACTATAAAGCAATTTTCAACTGAACCCATTAGCCTTCTGTGATATCCACTACCTGTAAAATTGTTATCTTTTCACACTTCTTAGATGGCAAAAGCCTTGGGATGGGGAGAGCAGGTCAGGTAGAGTTGGAAGGGAAAATCCCTTGGATTGGTCTCAGGTAATGCAATTTTCATTCTAGGTGCATTTAAAATGTATTCCTAGTCTTAAGAGGTTCTGGTGAAGTTCTCATTATCTCTCTAATTACAACACATACTGAGGTTAAGTGTTCTTATCAAATGGTGCATTAAAAATGGGTTTTATTCCCGGGCTGGATCTAATAGGCTGAGATACTGGCCTGAACACACAGAAATTGGTTCCCTCGTTCATTTCACTTGCCAGATTGTGAGCGATTTGGAGGGACAGAGCCATCATTATCCAGTGCAATGATGTTGCCTAGAAACGAAGATAAGTTCCAATTTAAATTAGACTATAACAACTTTATCCGTTGTGCAATTTGTGTAATGTCTTTAGCAAATAGCAACCGATGGGTCATAATTGAAATACACGGAATGTTGTTAGTGAGCATTGCATGTAATTTTACAGGTGGATTTGGGAGATGGGTGTGACCAACGGTTCTTTCCAAGCACACGTGTAGTGATCACACCACGCTTTTTCCTCTCTAATCTTCAGTGACTACAGATATTCCCTTGAGTAAAGCACAAGCTCCCCTGGACTTCCTCCTCCCTGCCTGCTTAAAAACTTTCAACAGCATGTCATTGCTCTTAGGATTAAAACAGTATCTCTCAGCATAGCGCACAAGCCCCACGTGGTCTAGCCTGCCCTCACTGGTCCAGCCTTGTTTCACAGCTTGCTTTGCTATTCTGCTTGCTTTTTTCATAAGTGCTTTTTTTCCCTTCCTATCACAGGGCCTGTGCACAGGCTTCCCTCTCTGATGATAATGCTTTTTCTCTGCTCTCTGAATCCATTTACTTCTATTCATTCTTCAGATCTGACCTCAGGAGCCACTTCCTCCAGGAAGACTTCCCTGACCTCTATGATTAGATCACATCTTCCTGGCTGTGATAATACCATGAATGTCTCATTTAAATGTTATGTTTGTCACAATTACCATTTTAAATTTTATGGTGTTTTTTTCCAATGATAAATGTGGTTACATGATGAAAAAAATCAAAGTGAAATAGAAAGATATATTCTAAACTATCTAGCTTTCATTTCTGTTCTCATTTACCCCATTACCTCTCCTTTTAGAGGTAAACTTTTTTTTTAATTAGTTGCTTATTTATCTTTTCTTTTTTGCAAGGACAAATGCAAATCTATATCTTGTTCCTCCCCTTTTAAACACAAAAGTTAGCGAACGTACTTTGTACCTGTTGTACACCATGCTTTTCTTCCCTAACCATGTACTCTGAGCTTATTCTGTATCAAGACATGAAGAACCTCTCTCCATTTTACAGCTGCATAGAATTCCACTGTGTTAACTCTTCGTTGATTCTGGAACCAGTTCCTTAATGCTGGCAGTTGAGTTGTTCTCAGTCTTTTACTTTTTTTTTACTGAGTACAGTCAGTTATAATGTGTCGATTTCAGGTGTACAGCACAATGTCCCAGCCATGCATATACATACATATATTTGTTTCATATTCTCAGTCTTTTACTATTACAGATAATGCTGCAGTCAGTACTCATGTGTTCCTGTCCCTGTTATGTTACGCATGTAAATACCCACAGGTGGGGTGGCTGGGTCGAAGGACAAATGCGTCAGTGATTTTGATAGACATCGCCCTGTTACCATTCCTGTGGGTTGTACCATTTCCCACCTTTATCAGTAACACATAAGTGCCCATTTCTTCACAGCTTCACCAGGGGTGTTGCCCAACTTTTGATGGGGAGGTAAGAGATGGTACTCAGGGCAGTTTTAATGTGCATTGTTCTTATTTTGAGTAAGATCTTCTCATCATGTGCTTAAGGAGAATTTGTAGTTCTTGTGTGCGTGAACTGTCTGTCCACGCTTCTTGCCCCTTTTCTGTTGGGTGCTTATCTTTCCCTTCCTGTTATCTCGGTGCTTTGAATGGTGGAGATTAACCATTTGTCTGTGATACGTGCTGCAGTATTTTCCCCAGTTTGTCATTTGTCAGTAGTGTTTTTGGATAGTTAATACCTATTTCTTTTGCTAAGACATTAATACCAGGGAGGGCAAGTCTCGCATCTCCTGTGCTACCACTGTGCCCCCCCCGGATCTGTTCCCTCATCTGTAAAAAATAAAAGCCTTGTTAGAGGGCCCTCTCACCTCTGAAAGGCTATGATTCTGCTTTCTCTTCTTACTTTTCGGTTTATTAAGGTTCCCCTGTCTTCCCCACCTTTGGGTCCCATGTACCACTGGGAAATGTGGGGATTAATATAGTGTCACCTGAGAATGCCTAGAAAGGCTCCCTCCCCCAAGTATCCCACTTGGTTTTCATTGGAAACTTTGCCATTAGTGATACATTTTGTCTTCTCAGTTCCCACTAGCTTTATTCAGGTCTCTGGTACTTTCCACCTGGACGTAAGCCAGTCTCCAAATTTGTCTACCTGGATCCTGTCTTCCCCTTTCAGTCTCTGTGCTGTCCGCCTCCAGGTGTTGTTTCGTATAAAACAGCCCACCTGATCGGGGACCTTTCTCACCCACCTTTCTTGTAGTGCCCATTTCTTTTATTAAAGTGCCAGGTCCCTTCATGATAAGGTCTCAAGCTGCATTTTCAGCTGCGCGTCTCATGATGGCCTCCTGGTCCCTTTCGTTCCATCACATAGGCTCCTCAGTCTCATCCACCTCCACCTCTTCTCAGGCTGGTCCTTCCACCTGACATGCCCTTCTTTTATTCAGGTCGGTCTGATTCTGCCTACGAAATATTACCCATCTCTCACCATCCTCCTGTTGGGCTGGGATTGAGCTCTGCTTTCCCAGTGCACTCATAATAGTTTGAATAAAAGATCATACTGGGTGTTTTTCTTGGAAAGTGTGTGCATGGCTCTCTGTCTACCAGAGGATAACCTCTTTGAGGGCAGAAATGTATTCTTTTCCATCCTCACAGAGTCTGTAAGAAATAGTCCCTTAGGCATTTATTGACTAGAATTAAAGCAGCACTCACTCCCAGGAACTTTAATTTTAATTTAATTTGTACAATACTCCTGGGATGGTAGCAAGTCTTAAATAGATAAAAGTTAATTAGTTTAGCTTATTTGGTTTTTCCTCTTAAATTATGGTTCAGTGAAATATTAGTGTGCACTTTTGTGTATGGGTGCGTGTGTGCGTGCATGCGCAGAGACACACATGCACACACATACGTACACAGACTATTACATGCTCATGGGAAGGGAATAGTGTTGAAAGGGAGGGAAAGTATGTAGAATACTTAGAATAGAGGGGCACTGAGGAGAGCAGCCTTCACTTTATGGTTTTGCCAAAGAGCAGCTCTGCTCGTTCCTGAAACAGCCTGCCTCAGTGTCCTGCCAAATTCTATCTTTCCCATCTTTCTGATTTTGGATAAAATTTATCCATGGAAACTTTTCTAGTTAATCCATAACCACCACGGCCCTTGTATCACTCTGATTGGTTAACACACTCTGCAGGAATATATCTTGAGGTTATCTGATATATCTTGAGGTTATCTTATCTCCTCTTGATCCTTCCTGAGAAATAGCTCATGAATATCTGAGGGTGAAAGAATTCTCCAGGATATTTGATCTCGGTCAGATCCTAGTGCTCCTCCCCCACCGCACTCTCATTCAGCTGTGCCCTTGACTGCCTGGAATGAAGACGTCATTCCCGTCTCCCTTGCAGCTAGTTGTGGCCACGTGACTAAGTTTGGGTCAATGGGAGACGAGTAAAAGTGCCACATATAACTTCCAGAAATGGTTTTTGAAATAAGAAGGTGCCCCCTTTTGGACCCTTTCTCCATCCAGTGGAAAGGGATAGTCAAAATAATGGATGAAGCTGGAGGAACCATCTTAGACTATGAGGTGGCATCCCTTTGCTGAAACTGGCAGTATAGCAAGATAGACCCTGAGTCTGTGATGACTCTCTGCCGTTGCACTTCTCAATACCTGCCCCCCAGACTTCTTCTACATGCAAGAGAAGTAAGATGTTTATCTTGTGCAGGTCTTCATTATTATTTACGGTTTCATTATTCAAGGCCAAACCTAATCCTAACTGAGTATAGTCATAAAAAAGAGCAGGACCTGGAGAATTACAAAGAGCCCTCAAACAAGACCCAAACTGATGCTCTGTCTGGATAATAGTCGTTTTTTTTTTAAATCTTCAAAAGGGAGGGGAAGAAGATCCAAATTGTATGCTATGGGGCATCTTCCCTTCTCCACGGTGAGAGCAGAGCATGGGCCCATCACACAGCTGGAAGTCTGGAAGGGCAGGAAGTACCAGAGAACTGAGGTACGAGCAGGAGGACTCCCGCAAAGCGTAAGGAGCTGGAAGGTAATGAATGCTGGCATTTCAGGCTTCCAGAAGCTGAGTGCAAAATATGTGTGATGTAGACTTTGCTGGCATGGGATCTTCATTCCTCCACCATGGAACAAACTTTTGCTTATGGTAATTAATATATTAAATGACCTTGTAGAGACATAGAAAACAAACTTACGGTTACCAGGTGGGGAGGAGGATGGAAAGGGATAAATTAGGAGTTCAAGATTTGCAGATACTATTATATAATAAAACAGATAAACAAGTTTCTACTGTACAGCACAGGGAACTGTATTCAATATCTTGTAGTGACCTATAATGAAAAAATATGAAAACGAATATATGTATGTATATGTATGACCGGCCTATTACACTGTGAACCAGAAATTGACACAACATTGTAAACTGACTTTACTTCAATTTTTAAAAAACGACCTTGTAGTGATAATACCTCACCTTGTTTAAGCCACTTCTATTTGGAATTTGAAAGAAGAGGGCAAAGAAATTCCAGGCTGGCATGATTCCACAAAGCAAACTATCCGAGAAGATTCTTGTCAAGATGCAGCGACATGGGCATTACATGTGGTAGAGAAACTGCGCTCCGGAAGGGAAGGTGATTCTCCCTAAACCACCTCTGAACCCGCTCCCTTGAGGCTCCTAGGCCAGTTCTTTCTCCTCAACACTATTTTATCTGTGAATTTAATTTACTCTCCATTGGGAAAATTGGTTGTGCCCTGGGAAACTGGGCTGAAGTGGAATGGAATATTCATCTTTCTCCTAAAGTCATGGGTGATCAAACACTGAGCTTTCATCTACCACCCATGGAAGAGAAACGTAGCTTTCAAAATGTCTGCAAGAAAAGTTTTTTCAAATTGCGCTTGTTTCTGACTGTAAGGAATGAGTCTTGTGTGAGATAACGTGTGATAAAACACTCCGAGGTGCAGTCGTAAGGTCTGAATCTTCCCTGTGGAGTCAGAGATCTCCAGGTGGACAGTCACAGCTACAGAGCTGTGTGCTGGACAACGAAACAAACAAAAAATAAATATGACAAACGTTTTCTTTGATATTAGATGACAGTTTCTCAATGCACAGAGCTCTTCAAACAATAATACTTCTATTTTTAAAAAACCCAACGTGTTATTTCTTTCTACTAAATCTTTCAGCATATTTCTTACTCATTACAAATTTCTAACATCTGAATGTGTATAAAGGCACTAAATCCAGGTTGGATATAACAAATCCTCGTATCATGGGAGACGTGCTTTTTCAGACTCAGTTCACCATCACTTTAGGGAAGTGGCCTATCTTAGAATCTGAGGTTTTTTAACATTGAAAGAAGCCTCTTAGTTCAATATGTAAATAATCCAGTCCCTTCCTTTGTAAATGAGAAAAATTGAGGTCCTAAGAAATCTTTTTGGGCTCAAAGTCACAAAGCTAGTTGAAGTTTTAACAAATACCTTTTCAATTCCTTTTATATCTTTGCAGAACAGATTAAAAAGAAATAATTTTTTCTTCTCCTTCTGTTTCCCCATCCACTCAGCATTCCAGGTGAGGTTTCATGTTTGGAATCATAAACCTGGGACAACAAAGTACTACAATATACAATTTATCAAAGATTTTTTTTTTAAACTCTGAAGGCACAAAATGTATCATCACCATTCATTCTTTCTCACTTTTGCTGTCAGCTTTTCATGCATGGACTGAACTGGCTGTGCTTTGCACTGAGGTGTGCGTATGAAGCTGTCAGGTGTTAACAGCTAATTAGGAGCATTTCATAGCGGAAGCAGACCTCGCTAATACAACCAAGTTTCTGTGTCACAGTGGCGGTGGCGCTGGTGCTGGCGCCGGTTGTGCTGCTCTTTGGTGTCAACAAAGAAAGCCCAGCATAGTGGCAGCATTAGCCCAAGGCTGGGAGAAGCCTTCTGAGAGCAGCCAACGTCCTCATTTGGAGCCTGCCAGGTAACCGTGTTGGCCGTTGGTCTGAGCAAACTGCTAGATGCCCCAAGGCCTCTGGTAACCCAGGGCTGGCTTCTCTGACAGATATTTACATGCAGCAAACCACAGGCACCCAAAAGGGGGACCAAATACTTGTGAAAAGAGCCGGAGTCTAAGAGAAAGAGACTGAGATGGTAGCCACCAGTCTACCTCTAAGTGGGCGATGTTTCCACCCCATCCACTTGCATTGACAAAATAGCGGCTGGCCAGGCTTTCAGCCCTCAGGCAGATGTTATTAGCAAGAAGTAAAACAATTAATGAAACAGCAGGCTCTGGGGGAAGGAAGAGAGAGAATGACATGTTAACATCACATAACTGGGAGGTGATAAAATCCACGTCCTCTCTTCATAATTTATCTGATTTACTGTGGGCAGTATCACTAGTCTATAAAATATCAAAGTTCTATTTGATGCATTCCAGAGAATTCAATATTTTGCCTTCGCTGAAATTTATTAGGATGTAGTACTTTTCACTTTTAATTTCAGACTAGCTTCAACTCAAAAACAAACCCAATGAATGAATTCATCAGTATTTATTCAGTAACAACTCTGTATGCCGGGTACTGTGTTCAGAGATAAGACGAAAGCTTGGACCTGCACAATTCTTGGAGTACATTTCAGGCATCATGTAATCCATACAAATGCCCTGTTGAGCACCTGTTCTGGACCAGGCAATGAAGGCTGTTTTGACATTACTGTTTTGAGGTGGCCACTTGGTAATTGCTACCTTCACTTCCTTTTTTACCTCCTTCCCAGGGAATACAAAAATTTCTGAACTCTTGTCACTGATATTTAGTGCAAACTACTAGAAACTGATTGTCAGATGGGACACAGAGAATACAGTTGGTTTCACAATTATGCAGTGCTCCTAAAAACCAAACCATAGGGACTTCTAGCTAAATATGGCAGATAGAAACTAAAAACAAAACAAAACATGACTATCCCTCCAGACCTGCTGAAAGTTCCACTAAGATGACAGCAAGAGAATGTAAAACACATGTCAGGAAGGATGCTAGGAATTGTGGATGGAGGCTTAACAGTCCCCCACAGTACCACATGAGTCCCTGGTTATGACTCAGGAAGCAGGGCATTCAATGCAGAAGTACCTCGGAAGCACATCATGGGTCAGAACGTCGCAGATGATTATAGAAGAGATGGAGATCACCAGGGTCTTTAAAAGTGATCTTCTAGAAGAGGATGGGGATGCTCCCAATACATAAAGAAAAACAACTCCAGTCATGACGGAGGAGATGGACGCTATACTACTGTACGAGACAACCCAGTCTGTCAGAAGAAGCCTAAGAAAGAGGCTGCAAAGAAGAGGTGCAAGTCTTCCAGGGTCTCTGGCTCAGAAGAAAGGTCAGGTAGCTCAGAAGAAGGCAAGTCAGGAGTGGACCACTGAGAGACAAACCAAACCACCATCTTCTATGAAGGTTTTTCCAATAAAGACAATAAACTTACTAACCAAGCAGCTAAAACATCACCACCACCACCAATAACAAAAACCTTTGTCACAGTAAAACAAATGAAAACAGTGTTTAAAATAAGAGGAAAATAAGATTTAAAAAGTTAGAGTATTCATAAAGGATATCCAACAGGAGCCCTAGAATAAAGCAGAAAAGTTACTAGATTGAGTCAGCGTGCCCACAACATGAACGAAAAAAGACCCCTGTCGAGACACATCGTTGTCTTTTCTTTCCCCCAAGAAGTTCAGTAGTAGAGATGACTGAAAAATTCTAGAGAAGAAAGCCTGATGGTGGACAAGGGAACAGGCATCAGAGTGGTCTCAGCGGTCTTAAAAATAGCTTTGGAAGGTAGAAAAGCAATGCCTTCACGATTCCGAAGAAAATAATTCCCACCCTCACTGTTAAACAAGTCTGCAGGTGGGCCAGTGTTTCGGACATTCCGAGTCTCAAAAAGCTGTCGCCCATGCACCACTTTTCAGGAATCCACCAGAGAATTTCCTCCAAGATAAGGAGAAAACTTGGAAGATGCTAGTGGACAAGAAATGGCATTCTACAGAAGAAAGTAGCCAAGGGGACCTCAGAGTGGTTACTCTGCGACAGGCCCACAGAAGACCCAGTCCAGGTGGGAACAGAAGGTTAGAGAGGTCCAGAGGGGTGACTCCAAGTGGGTGGGGGAAGAAACTGACCGTTCATCTGCTGTACCTGTTCTCAGGAAATGTATGCTTACTGCAGAGTTGGGAGCCGGATTACCAAGTACATAGATAAACTTAAGCAAACAGCTCAAAACAGTTATTTACTCTGAGGATCAGAGCACCAATCCCTATATAAGAAAGAAAATATAATTCTAGTTCACTATGAGATCTAGTTATAAATAAATGCCCGTCATTATAATAGAGTCAATACTAAATACTCAACTCTGATTGGTGATGTGCTATGTCTGTATGAGGGGAATTGTGGTGTAGTGGACGTGCAGGTGCATGTAGGAGCTCCTGGTGTCTGGTAGGCAGATTGCAAAAATGGCCACAGTTCTCTTCTCCGTGCATCCTTCACCATGTGACTTTACCGCATGTCCCACCAAGAGGTGCAGGCTGTTCGTCCTCTACTCAAATCCAGCTGGCCTTGTGAGCAAATGCAATGGGAGTGCCAGAGAGCCTGGGCCTCAGCAAGTTTCATGTGCTCCCACGGGGACCTTTGGAACCCTGCCCATCCTCTGTGTGAACAAGCCCAGCCTCACCTGCCATACGGAGTGTGGAAGAGCCACCCCCAGCTGAGGCCACTGGGGCCAACCAGCTCCCATCCACCTTAGCAACTGACCACAGCTGACCTTGAGCTCAGCCAAGACCAGGATTGTCCAGTCCAGTCCAGTTCAGATTGCTGGTCCACAGAATCGTGAACACATAAATGGGTGGTTTAAGCCAATACATTTCAGGATGATTTGTTACAAGCAAAAATTAATTGATACTGTGCATACATGTACATGTGTGTCTACAGGAGGATGTTAATGCAATCAAGCTAGGTTTTTGCGTTCTATAATGGGAAATCAATACAGCTACCTAAATCTGAGAACGCAAGCAGCACAACAGATGAGGTTATTTAGAAACAAGGGGACAAAACAGTGAAGGGATTTGAAAGTGTAAATCAGGGGTCAGGAGGGATAGAGTTTTTCATTACAGGCTTTGTAGAATTGTTTGATTTTTTAAAAAAAATTATGTACACATTTAATTTTGAAAAAAATGTAAATTAGGTGGAAACAAAAAAAGAAAAATAACTAAGCCTCCAAGTTATTGATAGTCAGCTGGTGAAGAGCGTCTGTCACCGCCAGCAGTTGTCATGTGTTCCGCACATGCCCTGGCAGCTGGAGGAATTTCCTAAGACGCTAAGCCGCAGCCAGCCCGGCTTTGCCTTTGGATGAGTATTCAGTCCTCGTGCTTGCATACTTGTGGCTAGTGCACAGTGGGAGCACCGGGGGAGAAGCACATGGAAAAGTTGGATGCAGGGCCTCAGACACTGCAGGTGTTCTTCGAGTTGGTAGTCCCCATTCTAGCAGAGTCAAATAAGGACCACAAACATCAAAAAATACTGGAAAACTGGCTGCAGCCAAAATGAGGGCATGGCAGAATTGGTCATTAAAAATCATTCTGTGGTAACACTGTTGAGTTGACATGGAGCAGATCACCGTATTTAACAGAGAAGTGGCACTATGAAAACAGAACACACACAACGGCAGGAGAAATGGTTCTCGTCAGACAGGCACTCTCTTTCTTTGCTCATACCATCCTCTCTGGGCTTCAAATGTATTTTTCTCTTGGTAATTATTATTTTCAAGTGTATTTATTAAATTTTCTCTCCCCTGTTAGGCTGGGACGAGATCAGCAATATTTTGAAAAGACATAGGAGGTAAAAATAAGATCCTAGGTATTAAGTGATGTGGTTATTAGTCGGGATAGACCACCAAGATAGAGGCTGTAGTCATGAAAAAGCCCAGATCTCTGTGACTTAACATCACAGGCACAGTTAGGTCTTCAGAAGGATGCTGGTTACCTAGTTCACACGAAGATCCAGGCCAATACCTGGTACCATGATCGCTTCCTCTCAGAGCTGACCACATGTGACACTCATCACTTCTGCTCCTACGTTTAAGCCATTTCACATGGCTGTGCCTAAATTCAGAAGGGTGGGAAAATATAATTCTAGCACTTATCCAGGAGAAAACTGGAGTATTTGTGACATATTCCAACTCAGTGTGCTTTTCTCCCTGCTGTTCAACCTAGTCAGACGTCACCTAGAATATAAATTCGTTATGTGTATTTTTATCGTTGACTGTCTTACTCCAGAAAATTATGATGCATTAGAGGCAGATGATGAATCTGGCTAAGGGGGAGCGCCTGGGAGCTTACATGAGGGATGAAAGTTAAGTAAAGTAACGTGGTTTCCCTTTCTTCTTCCTGCGGCTTAATGATACAGCACCGTATTTGCAGACCAGTCCTGGTCTTCCTCAAGTGGTTTCTATAACAAGATAATTTTCTTTCACCAGATCACTAACCAATGTGTTTTTGCTTTCAAGTAGAGCCTGATTTTTGCTTAAATTTTGAAGACTGTGAATATAGGGGCATGCCACTTTCTGCCTGTTTAAGAAATAATCTGAGGCAGCCTGGAAAGAAAATGCTGATGTGTGGGTGAGGAAACTTTATTTAAGTAAGATCTCAAAGCAATGTTTGCGTTTTGAGAAGGAGAGGTTAAGGAGAGCAGGGCCTGTGGATCTGGAGGGTCAGAGAAGTCCAGCTTTCAGAGGAGACACATGGAGTGCAGGAGAGGAGCTGGGTTTCCATCTCTGGGGTCGAAGGGAGGAGACTGATTTTCCTGCTGATTTGTGAAGAGCTTCAGTGATAAGCACTGGGCTTCTCTCTTGCATCAGGATGGAAATAGAGAAGTAGGGGTTCCAAATATTTAGCCAAAGTCCCCAAACCCTTTGATCCTAAAACTTCAGATATGCCGTGCATCCCATCCAAGTTCGGTTACACTTCCTTGCTGAAGTCCAAACAATCAGAAAGCTGGAATAATTAGACCTCTCTATTGCCTGGGACTAAGGGGAAAAAAACAAAACAAAACAGATGGCAAGTAAATCAGTTGAAATCAGGCACACCTTCAAAAGAAAAGCAATTTCCAGAATGTTTCAGAGTTAAGATTGATTTCAGCCAATTTCTTGACTTTTCTGAAACACGTGGCACGTTCAGGCCGAAGTAAATTTTGCTGAGATGAACCATTTACCATACTTTGCTCATCTTGCCCTCTAAAATCCTTACTCTGGAAGGTCCCAACTGGTCTGAATCATAAGCGGTAAGTTGTTTGACATGGGACCTAAGGAGATCTGTTGCGAATATTGGTTGTGGATATTCATGCCCGTTAAGTATGTGCTTTAAACTTCAAGCCATGTATTTAGGGCTTTTCCTCATGAGCATGGTGGTGACATGTGACAACCAGGGTCTGAAGGAGTGGGCTGCTCCCTTGCCCCAGTGCCACAGCAATGGGGCGCTTCTGGCCTCGGGCCTTTTATATTGCAAATGGAAATCTATTAGTTATGGATTACTATGTCACATAAAGTCCATTATACAGACACAGATTGTACATTTGTCACTGGTTCACTTTAAGCTTTCCTTATACTTTATGAATTGATTTCTCTAGATCAGAGTTTCTCAACCTTGGCACTATTGACATTTTGGGTGGGTAATTCTCTGTCATTGGGGGGGAAGACTGTCCGGTGCATTGTTAAATATTTAGCAGCTTCCCAGGGGGCCTCTACCAACTAGATGTCAGTGGCATCTACTCTCTCCAGTTGTGACAAATAAAAGATGTCTCC